TGATCCAAGTGGTTTTGTGTTTAGAAATGTGTTCCTAGCGGGAAAATGCCCCACATTTGCCTGGGAAGGAAAACTGGGTGTTAATGACTGATGATGGTAGGAGGTGATGCTGACAGAGACGCTGGGGCTCAGGTCTGCTAGGAACAGAGGGAGCCACGCGCCACGAGCCACAAGGTCCAGGCCCTTCCCCGCCGGCTGCCGAGCGGCTGGTCGTTCGCAGCAGGAAACATTGATGTTGCTGATGCAGCTGGAGCCTGATTTTAATTATTGTACCCCTACGAGGCCTGCAGAAGCAGGGCAGAAACCAGGAGGTGCGGGCTGTGGAGCTCAGCACACAGTGGCGGGCGCGTGGGCTGGGGGCTGGGAGGGCAGGCGCCAACCGTATGCCGTCTCCATTGGGGCGCTGGAACCCTTGCGGAGAATGAGCCAGAAGAGGGCCTATTTTTAGAAACACCTGAGCTCTGTATTAGCTTCTTACCCATCAAACTGGAAACGGTGCATTTGAAAGCTATAAACAGACTCGAGAACCATGACTGCTTTGTCATTGGATCCTTGTAATGCAAACAGTGGTTGTCGGGAGGACCACTGAAGAGACTGCGCTCGGGTTACATGCTTCTGTTCCAGCCCCACCGTGTAATTCCACTAATCGGTTTGGCTTGTTTTAGCGGACATTCGAAACTCCCATTAGGTGACAACACAGGCTGAAATCAATTTCCAGCATATTCTTAACAGTCTCTTGTGTCCTGTGTGCTTTCTGACCGTGGCACCGGGACCCACCCACATCCTAACGGAGCTCCGGCCGCGCTGGCAAAGGCCCAGGTGCCGCCGTGAGTGGCCATTCGGCCTCATTCTGATGGAATTCTGAATTTGGAGGCCTCTTGTCGTCCCTGGGATGGCGGGGGGGGGGTCCTGCACGGACGTGCGGGGGGCCACAGTCCTGCCCAGAGCTGAGTGGTCCCACGTGGTCTGTGCCCAGAGTGTGAGTGGACGGTGCCTGCGCTTGGCAGTCCACCCCGTTTCACTTGGGCAGCAAGTTCCGAGGTCCTCAGCTGCCAGGCATGCTCCTTTGGAAACACCTTGAACTCAGGTTTACCTGTTAGAAAATGCATCTTATTAAAAATTGAACCTTGAGAACATTATCTGGTTTCCCCAAACTGGAGTGAATCTGGTAGAATCCATGTCTGTGCCGTGAGAGGGAAGTGGGGGCAACCCCAGCAGGTGTGGGGGTGCAGACCCGGCGCGGGGGTGAGCACGCCCACGACCCTGCGGATTTGGGGGGAGAGCTAACCAGCGGCGTTATTGGGATATAGTTCACATGTCCCAAAATCCAGCTCTTTAAAGGGTACAATTCAGTGGTTTTTAGTACATTAACCAAGTTATGGGACCACCGCCACAGTGTAGTTTGACATTTTCGTCATCCAGTTCCCATTAGCACCCACTCCCCCGCCAGCCACTGGTCACCTCGCATCTGCCTTCTGTCTGTGGACTTGCCTTCCAGGCCTGCCATGTAGACGGAGTCGCGGCGTCCGGGCCTCCGTGACTGGCGTCTGTCGCGTCTGGTGCCGTGCAGACGGAGTCGCGGCATCCAGGTGTGGTGTCTGTCGCATGTGACGAGGGTATGTTTTCATTTCTCTGATAACTGTTGGGCATCTTTCCATGTGCTGTTGGTCATTTGTAGATCTTTGGAGAAATGTCTATTCAAATCCTTGTACTGGTCTTTTTGTGACTTGAGTTTGATGGTCTTCTGTGTACCCCAGGTACAAATCTACTATTAGCTACAGTTTATGAGTGTTTTTGTCGGGGAGCCACGGGGACCTTTCAGGTACCCTTAGGCTTGTTGACCTGTAGTTCACCTGTGTCTTGTGGTCCCTGTGGAACACGGAAATCTGTGGGGCGCTCCAGGTCATCGCCCACCACCTCCCCGTGTCCTGAGTAGGTGTTGGACAGTTTCTCACGGTCTCCCAGGTGATGAGGTGCGGGCTGCTCGCTCCCCGACCCCGGAATAGAGCTGCAGACTGGGACCTGCTTCCGTGCCCTCTGGAATGGGCCCTCAGCACGAGGGCGTTGTGACCACGGCTCTGTGATTTCCTTATGCTGAATCTGAGGCTGAGGGTATACAGACGGTGCTCTGCACTTTGAACTTCGCACACAGCGCGGGCTCTGTGGTGCCTTCAGACTCCCACTGGAGCCTTTGTTTCCGGAGCCTTGTGGGGTCCCCTGGCTCCAAGCCCAGCACATTCTGGCTGTGCTTCCCCTCCCTTCTGAGCAGACAAGCTGGGTGCCCTTGCGGCTTCGTGGGGTTAGCTCTGTGCAGGCCTGCTGGTCACCGTGGGTCCTAGGCCGAGCCTGGGAAGACAGCACAGGGGGTGGGCTTGGCCTTCCATGCACTAAGGTCTGGGGGGCTCATCACATTCGGCCCCTGAGCGTAAGTCTGTCGTCCACACCTGCACAGCCCTCTGGGTGACCCAGGGCCTGTGTTAGGGGCACATGCAGGTTCCAGAGCCCCCACCACCTTCACCATGCTCTGCCCTGCTGTCCGGGGGCGAGGAAGAGATTTCACAGCCCTGGGTGAAGCGGGGACCCGAGGGGAGGCGGGTACCACAGCCACACAGTGTGTGTTCCAAAGTCAGCAGAGGCTTGGGGTGGCTGGTGCGTGCGCGAGGGGTCTGCAGCCCGCTCATCCCTCCCAGTCTGTGCCAGCCCAGTGCAGCCTCTGAAGGCCCCCCCACCCCCTCCCAGGTCAGCTCCTCCATCTCTATCCCCAAAGAGAGATGCCCGGGCAAAGGGAAAGAGCCCATTCCCTCCGCTGCTGGTGGCGAAGCGTTTCCCTCCCTCCGCGATGCACCTGGCGGCGAGGGAGTGTGGCCCTCCCCTCTGAAGGGTGCTCGCTCTCAAGGCCCAGCCTGCGATCCCTTCCTCTGCATCCGTCCAGTCCAGCGGGACAGGAATGGCCGTGAGGTTTCTGCCTGGTGCAGGGACACTGCGGTGAAGAGAGACAGGCAGGTATATTTATTTTGACACCTTGTAGATTTAAAATTAATCGCTGAAACAACTCTGCATTTATAATTTGGACATGTGACCTGCTATTTTGCTTGGTGGCAGGATGTAAATACACTTGAAATACTGCGATTTGTAAGGAGTGTTAATCATGTCTCTTGGGAAGATGTAGTTGATTTACCTTAGGCGGGTGGAAACGAGGAAGAGCCGACTCTGAGAGGCAGTGCCGTAGATTGGCACTGCCCTGTGGGGTCATATTTGAGGTGTTACGTGATCATGTGGAAACTGCACGGGTCTGCTAGACAGTGTGGAGGGTGTGAGTTGGCCTTGATAATGGTCATTCCGACTCTGCCTCCCTAGGGACGGGGGACCCCCTCCGGGGCAGCGGCTGCCTCCGCCTGCCTAGTGGAGCTAAAAGCCAGTGGCTGGAGAAAGGTTTTCAGGATTTTCATTTTTGTATTAAAAGTTATATTTTTATGTTTCTTTCCTTTCCTGGTTCCTTTACCATGTATTCTTTTTCAACATAAGTTTGCAAATCTGCGGGCATGAGAAGCCCCCTGGCTGTGTCCTGAGAAATAAAAGGAAATCAGGGGCACCCAGAGATTGATGTATGAAGCTCTTACGAGGCAGTTTAGTCAGCACCCCCGAAATGGGAAGGCCAGCAGGAAGGGGCGTGGGGCATGGGGGAGGGCTCGCACGGCTTGGGTGTGGCCTGGCCCTCGTGGCGCCAGGTTCCTGTAGAGCGCGGGCTCCTGGGAGGGCCACGTCCCGAGTTCCTGCCAGTGAGGGGCCAGCTTGTTCTCTCCCGGGGATCTTGCATTTCCCGAGCCCCTGGTGAGCGTGTCCGGAAACACAGGTGGAGTTAGGAGACCAGGTTGGTCTCTGTTCTCAGTCTGCACGGCCGTCTCGCAAAGCCAGGCCCTAACAGGAGGTTCGGAGGAGGCGTTGGCTGAGGGAATGTGTGTGCGTGTGCTGGGGGCACACCTGGACGCTCCTTACCCCAAGAAGGTGGGGATGGGCAAACCAATGGTGCATGAGCAAAAAAACAAAACGAGCTGATGTGAGGCTCTCCTGAGCTCAGCCAGCAGAGATGCTGTCGCTCACGTTACCCCATCTGTGTGGCTTCAGGAGCGCGGGCTCCCTGACCCACAGCGAGAGGAGGGCAGAAGACCCCGGACTCCCGCATGGCTGCCCGCGTCATTTTGTGCTCTGTTCATTGTCGACAGCTGTGGGTGTGGGCTGTGTCCTCAGGCTCCGAGGAGCTGCATGAGGCTTGTGTTCAGTGACAACCGGGCCCGAGCTTTGATCTGACCCACCCTTCTTCCTGTCCTGTCACAATGACCTCCTTTTTCCCACCGCTTCCCGTAGCCCAGCAGGCGTGGGCTGGGCCGCTGGCCTGGGTGGGGGGACGGGACCCTGAGCTGGACAGCTGTGTGAGGCTTTATTTTAGCTTCTGTCTGTAGCTGTGGTGTCTTGGTACCTCCGTGCTGACAACGTAGGGTCGGATGAATGTTGTCAAGATTCTTCTGGTCAGAAGATGTTTACCTTGTGCCTCATGGGCACGACGCTTTGAATAATATGAGGACGCGTCAGACCCCAGCCGCCTGTCTTCCAGGAGAGCCCCTGAGCAGGGAGACGGGAGACGGCTCACAGCTCTGTCCTGCGCTCACAGTCTTAAGACCTGCTCCCATGCGTCTAATAGGCTGTCTTCTGTTGGAGGCCCGAGGGTCGTGCTGAGCCCTCCGTCTGTGCAGGAGCCCCGCCGTGTTCTTTCCCCTGACGACCAGCTTGGAAGGGCTTCCCCGCCGGCTCCCGCTGGGGGTGCAGACTGCCCGCTCAGACCGGTCCCCTGGGGAGCGTAGCCCGTGCGGGTTGTGAGTGGTATCAGGACAGCTCAGGCCTCGGCAGGTGGGACCTGGCGCAGGCTCTGCGGGTGAGGCTGCGCGTGAGCCAGCACTCTGGGGGTGGCTGTCACCCCACTAACGCCGCTCTCTTTCCCTCAGTGTGCTGGCGAAGAGAACTGGGTGGACAGTCGGACCATCTACGTGGGGCACAGGGAGCCCCCCCCAGGTGCTGAGGCCTACATCCCGCAGAGGCACCCCGACAACAGAATCGTCTCCTCCAAGGTGAGCTTCTGTCTGGGACCTTGTTTCCCACGGGCCCTGTGGGGACGGCGGTTACCTGCTCTGCTCCTGGGGCCGTCGCCGTGGCTGCTGCCCACCCCACTGAGCACTGCGGTTGGCGTCTCCGTGGGGCTGGCCCGCTCGTCCATAGCTTGTCCCCACAGCTGGTGGGACAGGCCTCCTGTGTGTTAGACCACCTGTCCTTTGCGTCTCTTTAATTATGCCACGGACACGGGAGGCCTACTTCTGCCACTAATGAGTTTGCTGCCTGGCCACGTCCCAAGCCACCCCCGCCAGGTCTCCTCACCTGTAGAGACGACACTAAATGTCCCTGGTGGCAGGAGGTGCGTGTAGCCCCCTTGTCAACGGGAACACTGGGCACGTGTCCCAGTCTGTCAGGTGGTGTAGTAAGTGCCACAGCAAGGCTGTGATGGGGATGTCCTCACTCAAGTGAAGCACGGGTTCTCCTCGACTGGAGCACGGGAACACAGAGGCACACTTCACACGCTTGCTGAGTCACCGGGCAGTGGCTCTCCAGGACGGCTTTGAACAAAAAAGGTAAATGATGGCTTCCCGGATTTTGGAGAACTTTCCCTTTCGACGTACACACCCGTGCGTCCATGAAGGCATGCGCACCCATGGCTGTGTGTCCCGGCTGTGCACACCTGTGCGGTGGGCCCACCAGATCCCTATGTGGCTGCCTCACACGTCTGGATATGTGTGGTAGAGCTACTGAATTCCTCTGGAAGCTATCAAAGGTTGCCCTAAGTTTAAGAATACTTGAGAACAGAAAAGCTTTGCTCTTCAAGGCTCTTTTTTTAAATGGACCAATTTTATTTAAAACTGTGATGGAAAATAACAGTGTTGATGATCCTAGCTTCAGTTCTCCAGACTCACCGTGTGGACAAGCAGATTGCTCATCACAGAAATCCCACGCACTGTGCACGGTACGTGGTCGCCCAGAGGGATGCGTGCGGGGCACGTGGCTGAGCAGGACCTTACCCACGGTGCAGGGGTCTTTGCAGCAGTGACCTGTGTAAACCTGAGCGGTCTCAGGTGGAGCGTACTGAAGACTGCATCACCGGTGGGCCCGACACAGGAAAGGAATCTCAGTCACACTTCTTAAAAATCAGCTCCTGTGCCGTTCAAGTGCTTCGAGAGTCAGGGAAGTGCGCTGGACGCCACGGCTGCAGGTGCCGCACGAGCTGGGCAGGGCAGGCGGCGGGGGTAGGTGACGGGACTCGAAGCCGCCCACACTGTCCAATGTCCAGCCAGCAGGACATTTGTCAGGCCCTTCGGCCGCCGATGGCTTCCCGCTGCGGTTGGTTTCTCCCTCTAGGGACAAAGCCCCCAGTGCCTTTCGGGTCGATGTGGAAAGTTCTGCACAGGGCTGTGCAGAGGAACCTTCTGGAAGACAAAGCCTCTGGTTGACTGGGGCTGTCTGAGGGCCTTCCTGATGCATTTGGTGGAATATAGCCAGACGCTGAAGGATGTTTTATTTAGGACAAAAAGCCCCGTCAGTGTTTTAGGGGAGACAACCAAAAGCAGTGACTTCTAAATCCTATTCCTGACTCTTTGTGCTCTGACTCAAGTTGTGGAGCCAGTTTATTATTTTCATTTTTTTCTTTCAAATACTCCCACAGTGATTTTGAGGTGCTTTGTCATCTTCCCACCTTTTCTCTCCCTGGGGTGGCACCCACTGTCCCCAGCTGCCCTACCCGCACCGGGGCCACCAGCGCTGTCTCGGTTTCTGACAAAGCTGTGGAGGAAGGAGCGTTTGAGCCAGACTTGCAGCGTCCCGGGGTTTTTCACAATGGGTCCTTCTCAGGAAAGCTCCTTCAGAGCAGGAAGAACTGAGTCAACATCCTTGCAAGAGGCAGGTCAGACTGAAGCCACACAGACGGAGCCTGTGTCTCCACTTAGAGCGGGAGGGCCCCTGCATCCACGTTCCTCTTTGTTCCGAGAGGACTCGCCCTTCCTCGGAGAGGTGGGGTCAGTGGCTCAACGCCCGTCCACGGGGGATGTGTGTAATTTAAGGAGAAATCACGTACAGCACAGCCTCTGCGGCTAATCAGAGCCTGTTACAGAAGAGGCTCTCAGAAGGCCAAGGATTGCGCACGAGCTCTGTTGGCGAGGTGGACGGTAGCCGTGACGTCTGCCAGCATCTAGAGCACATAATTGTTTTCACTTAAAGACAGCTCAGGGTGTATGGAAAAAACAACTTAATTAGTAAAACCTAAGTCCCAGCAGGTGTGGAGAATGTGTGTTGTAACGTATGTACGTTTTCTTGGGAAGACCACATTTATCTTAAAAGACCACCTGGACTTCGTCCAGGCAGAGAAGCCTCACTCCGCAAGCTTGATTATATTCAGTCGGAGAGCTTTCACACGGGAGTGAAAAAGCCAGCCCACCGTGCTCGACTTAGACCTGTTTCATGGGTGGGCCGATGTTGGCCTCAGTGATTGATGAGAGTTCGATTTCCTTTCTGGGAGACACCCTGGGCAGGTGTTTGGGATGAAGGAGAAACAAGAGCCCACTCCCCAGCGCGTCCCCTTCCCTTTGCCTCTGACGACGTGCAGAGAGCCCTGCACCCAGCAGCTGCTCGAGCTCACGGGCAAGCAGATCCCAGCTTCAAGGGAAGGACCGGTCAGGGCACCTGGATGGCTTAGTTGGATAAGCGGCTGCCTTCACCCCAGGGTCCTGGGATTGAGCCCCGTACCTGGCTCCCTGCTCAGCAGAGAGCCTACTTCTCTTCTCCCTTTCCCTTTGCCTGACACTCTGCCTACTTGTGTTCTCTATCTCTCTGTCAAATAAATAAATAAATAAATCTTAAAAAAAAAGAAAAGAGACAAGGACCAGCCACGGCTTCATCAGTTTCACAAGATTGTACTTCGGGGCACAGAATGCGTGTTGCTCCCAGCTCTGACCTCGGGACACTACAGGTAGACATTAGGCTCAGGCTGTACTGTCAGTCCTTCCAGAAAGGTGTGTCACTTTTGATCTTGGGCAAGGGAAGATCACCTTTTCCAGTTAGGTGTGGATGGACAGCATTCCTGCGGACTTCTGAGTGAAGCGCGGCCCACTGGAGAAGAACCAGCCTCAGAGCAAAGCCCGTGGATTGATCTTTAGCTGCGCGTCTGCCCCTGTGCCCACACCTTCCCCACGGCACCCGCGGCTCCAGCACTACCTCTCACTGGCCCATCATGATGTGCACTCATTTTTCTAATATCAGGGATCCAGAATGGGGCGTAATTTTCTATTTTCTACATCCCGGTCTCCCAGTCGTACATGAACGAGGAAGCTCAACTCCGGGTGCACTGACACGTTCCAGGGGCGATCAGGGGCTCCATGCACGGCTGGGTGCCGGGCCTGTGCTCAGGTCCAGCAGGGCCGAGGCTGCTTCCCACATGTTCTCGTCCGACCTTCCGGCGGTCAGCAGAGAACAGTGCCCAGGGCTTATCTCCGGTTTCCTTCCACCACGTTTCTGGGGTAGACCAGGTGGGCCACGTTCTTTTTTGTCCTGATCCACGCTCCCAGCAGCTCACAGAACCACGGTGACCACCGCAGAACCGAGCTGGGTGCTGGTCAGGTGTCCTGCTCGCAGACCCTCCCGCGTGAAGTGTTGGCAGTGTGAGCAAAAAGCGAGGAATAGCGGCTGTCCCGTGCCGTTCCACACTGAGGTGATGGGAGGTGCTCTGGCCGCCTCTCTTCACCCCGGGCACGTGACTGAGCCCGGGGACCCCAGGACTACACGCTGCCTGCTGCCGGGATGGCCGCTGGAGCCAGGGCCTGATACCGCGCCAGGGTCCGCGGATTGTGTGACATCGTGGCCCCGTGTCCGCGCAGACACTCAGCTCCCCAGACGTAAGGAGGACGAAGTGTGTGCGGCGGCCCCTCCGTCCTCTGCTTGCCGGCTCTCATGTGTCACCCAGTGCCCGTTTACTGTATCCCGCACACCCGCTCACGTTCAGATTAGCTCGCTGGTTTTCACCTTTCTTGTCATACGCCATCCAGAATTAGTGACCCTCTTTTTGACCACATTAATAATCAGCAGTAATGACTCATTACGGTGGATTTATCCTGTGAAATAAGGGGATTACAAGGTGTAATGTTTAAGCTTTGTGTGGCTTCTCCACGCCTGATTAGCAGGAAGCAATCATTTAAATGGCTTTCAGTTCCAAATCTGAGCTAGCCCTGGGCACACTAGATTTGGGGGGCTGAAAGGGGTCCAGAAACAGCACACTCAAATAGGACAAGACCAGACGTTCACGTGATGTCCTAGGGTGCTTCCATTCGGAAGCAGGTGACATTGTTTTATTTCATTACACGTATAAGACGAAAGCATTCTCACGTGGAAACGTTCAAGAATGTGTAAGAAGTCAGAGAGTGGTGTGATGAGTCTCTCACGCCCTCGTCACCCCAGCAGCTCCCCCGGGACCCCACGATCCTCCACCAGCGTTGTGAAGCAGATCCTGAACAGCACGGGGTTTTCATCTGTAGACACTTCAGGAGACAGAAGGTGGGGTTTTAAGTGGGAGCTTTTTCCATTAATGTGATTTTGGTACTGAGTAACGTATTATAGGTCCTTGGGGACATTTTTGATTCACGGTCAGTGAGTACGGGTGTGGGTGCTGGGCAGTAGGTCGGTTTCACGGGGTGGGGCCTTAAAGACAGTTCCATCTTGGGGTCTGGAAATCTGTGGAGGATCACGGATCATTCCAGGCTGGTCACAGAAACACAAAAAAGAAGCATAAATGCTGTGACTCTGCCTAATAACTTACGTTCCTTTTCAAAGTTGATGGAAAGTGACTGACGTTTTCATTATGGCCCATTTAAAAGAAAAAACATTTATCTTTCTTAAAAATTTAAAAAGGTTGCTTGTGTTTGTACTGTTTGTCGAGCTATGGAATTTTAATGTGCCCATCGTGTTTTCAGCACCAGTCTGAGCCAGAACTTTGACCCCAGCTGTATTGTTTCAGGGCTCACGCTAGTGTGCTTACTGCACACGTGAAAAACTAGAACACAGTCCTGAAATAATTTGCTAAAGTTTACTTGATTTTTAAGTGTCAGGACCGGATTGGTTATGGGGTCTGACTCCACAGAGGCCGTGTGTTTTGCAGTGGAACAACGAGTAAATATTTTCTGAATTCCATAGAGTGGCCAGATTCTCCTGAGGTAGGGTAGCAAATTAAGAATTCAAAACATGGCTTTTTTTGTTTTTGTGTTTTTGGGGGGTTTGTGGGGGAACACATTGTCTATATTTTGGGAGAATTTGCGGTCTGGGTTGGGTTTCTGTTTTTGTCTTTCTCTAATGGAGAAACCGAGGTGAAGAAGATCTGGCTCTGTGTTCTCTACCCTCTCTTAGTGTCTGTGGCTACATTTCTGACCAGGAGACCTGCTGTTCAGTTCCCAGTCTGTTTGCACTCAGATGAAGAAAGCCTTGTGCGGGCTTGACAGAATCCAACACCATTGCTGATGAATAGTTTGAGCAAACTAGGAATGCAGGAGAATTTCAACTTGATAAAGAGCATCTGTAATACACCCTCAGCTAATACTACCCCTGATGGCGAAAACTGAGATGCTTTCACCCTAGGATTGAGAACGATGCAGATTTCTCTCTTGCCACCCCGCTCAACGGCTTTACGGGATGTTGTGGCTAATACAGTGAGGAAGGGAAGGGGTGCAGGATAGGCAGACTGGGCAGGAAGAAACAAGGCAAGTGGCATGAAGGTCTGTGGAGAAAATCCCAAAGAAAACTCCCAACAGAACCTGGTGGGACTTAACCATAAGAGCAAGGCCAGCAGCAAAGAGTTGAATTCACAACTTAAAATTTTCTGCTCTTCAAAAGACACTGTTAAGAATTAGAAAGACAAGCCACTGACAGAAGAAATGTTTGCCAAACATATGGCCTGTAGATGCCAGGTGTCTGGCGGTACACAGAGGGGAGAGGTGCTGGGGGGGGTGTTGGACATGGTGGGATCTGGCGGTACGCAGAGGGGAAGGGTGCTGGGGGGTCGGACATGGTGGGGTCGGGCAGTACATGGAAGGGAAGGGTGCTGGGGGGCTGGACGCGGTGGGGTCGGGAAGTATGCAGAGAGCTAACAGACAAACACCAACACAGTGTTTACTGGGTAATGACATCTGGGACATTGTTGTTCTCCACGCAGAAGGTAAGCAAACTGTCCTCCTGAGGCAAAGATGAGAAGTCTGGAGAGTAGGTGGTGGCCAGGACTCCCCTGTCCACCCTGCACTCCCTGCACACGAGGAGATGCGCGTGGAGCTGTGTCCACCCTGGGACACGGCGCCCTCGCGATGCTGACTTGGAGTGTCACTTTCTGTGACCAGCTAGTGACGCTTTCACAAGACAGAAGAGAAGGAAGTAGTCAGGGAGGAACGCCGAGCACGTATGTGTTAACGATCAGAGGTTTACGTTTTACAAAACGTATTTTAATGGTGAAACTATTGTTAGGCTACTTTGTAGGACATGGAATTACCTGGGGTTGGGTAACTCATGCTCTTTGGGAGTACGTGTTCTATGTTAGCGGTTCATTTTTGTGGTCAACAAATTGATAAAATATCTACAGAACACCCTAAATGTTGACTTGTGAGTTCTGTACCTAAAACTAAACATTTTGTGCTTTGAAATCCAGTGCTGTCCTCATGTAGTAAACACTATAAAAAAGTAAAATGTGATTAAAATGATACGTTTTTGTTTTTCTTTTATACAGTACACATTTTGGAACTTCATACCCAAGAACTTATTTGAACAATTCAGAAGAATAGCCAACTTTTATTTTCTTATCATATTTCTGGTACAGGTAAGGCCAGCTGTCCTTTTTTTTTTTTTTTATCACCTCAAGTGTAAAGTCTAAATAAGCAACCCTTTATGCTCAGGAGATTAAATATGGTTTGCTAACGAGAAGGAGCAGGGACCTGGAGCTCTTCATCTCTTTCCTTCATGGACAAGTGTGTTGGTTCAGAGAGGCATCTAAGCTGAAACAGACATGTGAACAGTCTGCCTTGGGGTTGGTTCTGGCCACCTTCCAGTCCTCGAGGGGAAATCAGGAGCCCCCTGATCTTTAGGGGAAACTGAGTAGGCACGCTAAGCGTTGTTGGGTGGATCCTTCTCCTAAGTGCGCGTGGGGAGAGCGAGAAGAGAGAAAACCACAGTGGGGTCTGAATGAGGGAGCAGGGATCTGATGTGTTTTAAGACTAGCAATCTCATTTTTCTCAATCATGCAAAATACAGCAGAAGGACTTTTAGAATGTCCCCAACATTAAGTTATTCAAATAATGTAATTGAAGTGTGGGCCCAACAGCAGAGCAGTGAATTAAAATAAAATGCACGCCACAGTCAGGCTTCCGTCTTTTCCGCTGTTAGCGTGGTTTCCTTAAGCAGGTCCCTGAACTAGAGCAAACCACCCTCACTTTCGCGGTAAATAGGGTGACTTACCCCCTACTCTGATTTATCTGTAGTGAGGGGATAAAGTGAGTTTAAAATAAGCGAAAGCAAATGTTTTTGTTGGTGTCATAGGCCAGCCAGTCTGTCCTCACTCACTAGGACGTGCTTTGAGGGTGGCTTGATACTTCTGCTTTAATTGCAGTTGATCATCGACACCCCCACGAGCCCCGTAACCAGTGGGCTTCCGCTGTTCTTCGTCATCACGGTCACGGCTATCAAACAGGTAAGCCCGTCTGTGGACATCTCGTGCTGTAATGTCGCCTTTTATCCAAAGCAAGATGATCCGGTTTGCTTCAGCTAGTTCACAGGAAATTTAGCCAAGTTCTAGAAATTCATTTTGGTAATTGTCATGGATTGACACTTGAGCTAAAATAAGAGAGATTAGATAACGTAGCAGCTAGGGCGGCATCCTGTGAGTCTGAGGAGGAAGCCAAGGTTTTCATGTTCAGAACCAGCCAGAGATGGAATCGGTTTTCAGAAGAGTTTCTTAGCCTGTCCACACTCTGGACTGTCTGAACCGCAAGGGCCAGCTGTGCCCAGGGCCCGGGCTGTGGTTTCCTAAGCGAGCTTGTGGACTGCTGACTCACGGTGTGCCTCGGGCTCTTCTCCCCGGTCCTGGTCACTGACAGGGATAAGGACGTGTCTCGGTCATGTCCACTGTTCATCTGGCCGTCTCTGTGCTGTAGCCATCAGCTCTGTCTGGATCCAGAAAATTCCCATCCCCTCGGAAGGAGGCCCTGTGCCCACGAGCAGTCCCTGGCATCTCCACCCCAGCCCCTGCCAGCCGCCGGTCTGCCTCTGTCAGGGCGCCGTCTTCCGCTGTGTGGGTGCAGAGTGGCTCTCTGCTTTTGGTGTGCACTTCCTTGGTGACTAACGATATTGAGCATCTTTTCCCGTGCTTATTCGCCGTCTGTGTGTATTTCTTCAGAAACATGTCATCAAATCCTTCATCCATCTTAAAATGGGGTTTTTTGTCTTTTGATTGATGAGTTGCAAGAACTCATTGTATGTTTCAGAAACAAGTCCCTTATCTGCTGCAGGCTGTTGAACCTAATGATGTTTGCATTTCAGGGTTGATAGGTCGACCTTTCATTTGGAAGATCTGGATAATTTGTAAAATGGCAGCTTCTAGTGACATTATTGATGATCCAGTTCTTGCTGACAAAGCCATGCTTTCCTGGTGTTTGTCTTTAGATAAAAATAAAGATTACGAAACATGTATTTTACTTGAGGACAGCCACTGGATGACAGTGGTATGTCAGTACCGCAAAGTGATTTTCTCTAGATTGAGAAAAAACGTAGAACAGAATCAGGTTATCTTTTAGTATGTGTGTAAAGAGCACCTCTGGGCCGCCTTCTGCCAGCCCCGCTCATCTTCAGTACGAGAATGTCTGCGCAAGTATTTTTTTTAATACAGAACGGTGAAGAGCATTTAATTTAAGGATGTGTCTTCATTTTAATTCGGGTTTTATATCTCACCAGTAATCTGGAAATACAGACTTGAACAAAAATGATTTTACTTCATACCCATTAGATTGTCTTTTAAGTGTAAAAGCCTGAAGAGCAACCAAGGATGATAATGTGGTCAAGCGCATGCACCTGCTGCTGATGGGAGCATGGTGGCGCCATCTTGGAAAACCATTTGGCAATAACTGATGGAGTGGAGGCCGTGAATGCAGTTAGTGTGTATTATATGCATCTCAGAATAGACCACGGAGATCCGGCAATGTGTCCTGGGATGTTCATTGCAGGCCTTTTTGGGGAAGAAAAACTAGGGACAGATTGTTCTTCAGTGAGGCAACGGGCAGCACATTTGTTGTGTGTGTGTGGGGTGGAGGAAGGTGCAGTGATTGAAATGAGTGAGCCCCTGGCTTCCCACCCCTCCACCTGCTCCCGTCCCTCTCCTCCTCACCTTTCCCGACCTCAGGACACCTCCTACACTGGACAACTCAGATGCCCTCAGCCCTCCCCTCCTCAGCCCTGTTCCCTGGTGACCCCAGCCAACACATACAGGGGATCCGATTCCCTTCCTTGCAGCTCAGGAAGCCCCTTTGGGGAGCCTGGCATCTGCTAGTCCCTGATGTGCCTCGTCCCGCCTGGGCGCTAAACGCATCTGACCCCCTCTGTTCAAATCTCCAGCGACTTCAGTGAGTTGGGCAGTTGCCCCGAGCCCTCCCGGGCTGCCCACCCTGCCTAGCTTTCTGCATGCCCCACACTGTCTTCAACCTTCCAAGCCAGCCTGGCGCTGGCCCCTGGCCCCACCCACGTGCGATCCTGCCCCCTCATGCCATTTACTGTGGTGTCACCTCCTCCTTTCTGGGCAAGCGCTGAGCATCCCCTGGGGGTCGGCTCAGACCCTTCTCCTCTGAGCACCCCCCCACACACACATTTGCATGCATGCACTGTGGGGCCTGTGACACACTCACACTCACACACACTCACTCACACTCAAAATCAGGGAACCAGGTGAGGCTCACGCCTGGGCCTGCAGGAAGGGGAACGGGAGACCCCCACACTGGTCCTCCTGCCTGAGTGAGGCCTCAGCCAGGGCGCTGACAGTGAGCACCTAGGCGTGGCCATCCCAGTGGTCGAGCACAGACAGTAGACACGTGTCCCACGGGAGAATGTCCAGAAGCCTGTGAAGGTGCCAGGGGCTGTGAAGAAGTGGGTACCCACGGTCGCGGCCCATCCAGCTGGGTCCAGAGCGGCTGGCTCAGGGCTGAGGGCCCTCAGCGGCCTTCGGCTCCACCACATGGGCGTCTTCTCTCCCCTTTAGGGCTATGAGGACTGGCTTCGCCATAAGGCGGACAACGCCATGAACCAGTGCCCTGTGCATTTCATCCAGCACGGCAAGCTGGTTCGGAAGCAGAGCCGAAAGCTGCGGGTAAGCAACACTGGCGCATTTCTTCAGCCAAAACCAGGAACAGTTAAAAGCCAAAAAGCAGCAATGCAGCAGGGTTTTAATTTAGCCAAACCTGTGCCTGGAATTGCTTCTTTACTGGATATAGTCCCGA